CCAACCAACCAAGTACCAATAACCTTAAAATCACTTGAACCAATTCAAATGGACCATAATCAACTTGATTAAGCAATTATACAACAATTATTACATTCCAAACATAAATTAACCATTAAAATTCCCTTTTCACAATAATATAAGGGGAACCACATATATCAATTCTCTTGGCCATTTAAACAAACAAACAACCCAATAACATCAATTGTACTAGTTTCTCAACCCCTTAATTCCAACAATTTCATCATAGTTATATTATCATTGGCCAAGATACCTACAATTCACATTCTCATGCAAGTGAACCCAAAATCAATGTATGTCCCTAAGTTGGCATATTTTTACAAATCATTCGTTACAAGCTACCAAGAAAGAGAGGGGCGACTTTACAAACAGAAGCCTCTTAATTCTCAGTGGCTCTTTCTTTCCTTTTGCCCTTGTCGGATCTTTGACCTATAAAATATAACTACTACGGTGAGTTGAGAACTTGTTAACTAAATAATATAATCTATCCACAAGCATGCCAGAATAGTATATGAGTGTGTGAAGTAGAAAATAAAACATTTATCAAATACATTTCAAGCATATTATATCATGTAACATTCCATACAATGCATGATCAATAAACTCTACCTTATATCCTCCTCATTTCCTCCAACTAAATTTGTGGGCAAACAATATAATAGGATCAATTCCATGTAACTGGACTAGCCTAACTCACCAATCATAGGAGGCAGCATTAACTAAAGACACCTTCACTCATTATGGACTATAGATTCCTCCTTTCCCCAAATACACATGGTGTCATATGCCTAATCTATCTTAAATAGTATTAAAACTTCTAAACAAAAATACAATTGTGCACCGAGGCTTGCACGATACTAGTGTACCCAACACTAAGGTGAATTCCCACCCTCTCATAATGATCATGCTCATACATACCAATAATATATATCATTCACAAGAAATAATCTTATAACATATACTAGCATTTTACAGTAGTACTTCACAAATTGTACAAAAAACTCATAAAAAGGATTTTATGTATAGAATAATAATTTAGTTCAATACCACTTATTATTTTTCCAAAATATCACAAATAGTGCATAATTCAACTTTTCATAATAATGTATATAATTATAATTTTGCAAACTTATAACTACTTAAATACACAAGTAAAAATACTATATTATCTTATCCAGTTGCTTTATCATGGCCAAATACCAACTTCTTAAAAGTCAACTTATTAAACGGGTTCAATCAATACTTAATCTATAAGATTAAATACCAATAATCAATTATCACTCAAAATAAACCCCCTTTTTCACCTAATTTTTTGGTACCCACTATACACAAACTCCTATTAATACCATTAACATTTATAACACACTCTATTAATTCAATTTAGCAGCTAAACATTTAGATGACATCAATCCTTCACCCGTATTGCTCCCAATGTCTCAAATTTTACGTAAGGTTTGTCCAAACCCTAACAAAAAACCTCAAATCAAGACAAAATCCTTTAACTTATGTTTGAAAATTTGATTTCACTCCTCAAGGCTCTAAATAAGCCAATGAGTTCGGTCAAAACTTAAGGAAAAACAAAATCAAACCCCATAATACCCAAATCTACACAAACTTTCGCATGGAGAGAGGAGGAAGTGAAAAGAAACTTACCCAAGTGTATAGCAAGCTCAAAATGCCTCCAAATCACTCCCAAAATGAAGCCTTAGTAGAGCCAAATGCTTTCTCCATCACCTTACTTGCATTCTTATGTTTTCTCCCTTCGCTTTAGCTTATGCTTGCAATCTGATTAAATCAAATTTTTGCCCATCCATCTCGGTACATGGTGCATCAAGCTCTAAGTGAAATTTGAGCATTACATATTACTCGATCTGTATGAACTCTAATCTAGCCCTCTTCTAAGGCTATCCAATGACCTGAAAACTTCATAAGCCATCCAAAAACACCATTAACTCATTAATTACTCAATTTATCATTTTAATCCTTTTAAATATTTAAAACTTCAAAGTTGAAAATTGAAGAGGTTATAAGGCGTAAAGCAAACAGGTCGTGGCACATGAGCTTCAAATCATGGTGCACCTTTTGTTTTCTCTATCGTACTTGTTTTCAACATATTTTCAAATATTTAACTTTTGAATGGTATCTTATACTTTTGTACTTGTTTTTACTGATTTAAACTTATTAATGCCAAAATAGAAGTGTTTTAAAATTATAAAATTTGGGATCCCACTTGAATTATTTTTTACTTTAATGATTTCAAATGAGATGGTAATCTATTTGGGTTAGTCCCATTATTATTGTTGAGATTTTAGTTAAGTATTGATTAATTAAGGGAAACTTTACATCATTTTTCCTAAAATAAACTCCAACATCAATATTAACAAAAATGACAATCAATGGCTTCAAAGTTAGGGAAAAAAAATAGTATCTTAGTGTGGTGAACAAAACCAAAATAAAATCAAAGAGGTAAGCTCAAAGACTATAAAAATGAACAAAATAAAACTAACTAGTTTGACACATAGTAAAATGATGTTAGTTAAAAGTCAATAATTTAATATCACTAGTGATAAATCATCATCATCATCTCTCTAGATATAATTAAAAATAGAGGGAATAACATTACATGCAAGAAAAAATTAGGGAAAATATTTGTACAGACCCTTACAATTTTACTCAATTTTAAATTAGGACCCTGTAATTTATTTTACTTTAATCAAGTCTTCATAGTTAGATCTATTATATATGTTAACCCTTAAATTTAATTTAATACTTTTTAGCCAAAACAATGCAAAAAATTTGATTTAGTATACTTTTTTACATTTATATTAATTTTTTTCTAAAAGTTCTTTATGTACAAAAAATATTTAGAAGACAACATAATTCTATAAATTTAGAGTTATAAAAATTATGTAATTAGTTCTAAAGTCATATAATTATTTAATAAAAATATAAAATTTCTTAGTTTTTTCAATGAAAAAATTTAAGAATTTTAATCTTTAAGGATTAAAAAATTTAATTGATTAAATTATAAATATTTAATTAAAATAAAAAAAATTGTAAATACTTAATTAAAATTGAGTGAAATTGTAGGAACTTAAAAATATATTTTCATGAAAAATTATAGAGATCTATAAAAAAAGTACAAAAATCAATAACAAAATAAGATCCTAATTATCTTTTTTTTTTCCTTTCTTATCAAAATTTTTGCTTGCCTTTGTAATAAAAAAGATATATATATATATATACACACACATATTGCAGGGCCAATAGTTGCATTTTTTGTCAGAAAAAAATCATGTCCCATAAATTATTATTATTATTATTTGAGAAAATAATAATAAAATTCTTTAAAATATATAAATAGTAATTTAATTCTTTAAAATATCATAATTTCCTTAAAGTTCATAATAGGGATATTTCTATCATTAATGAATTTATATGAATTATCAAATTACCCTTATTGAAAATAAATGATTCACAATTTTCCTTTTTATATTCAAATTTTTTTTACATTTGCAATAATACAACAGTAAATAAGAAATTTAATACGTGAAGTTGTAATTTGCTATTACATTGTGAATTTAAGAAAAAAAGTTGTGAATATAAATAAAAAAAAGAGTATCTTAGTGTGGTGAACAAAACCAAAATAGAATCAAAGAGGTAAGCTCAAAGACTATAAAAATGAACAAAATAAAACTAACTAGTTTGACACGCAGTAAAATGATGTTAGTTAAAAGTCAATAGTTTAATATCATTAGTGATAAATTATCATCATCATCTCTCAAGATATAATTAAAAATAGAGGGAATAACATTACATGCAAGAAAAAATTAGGGAAAATCTATGTGCAGACTCTTACAATTTTACTCAATTTTAAATTAGGTCCCTGCAATTTATTTTACTTTAATCAAGTCCTCATAGTTAGATCTATTATATATGTTAACCCTTAAATTTAATTTAATACTTTTTAGCCAAAACAATGCAAAAATTTTGATTTCGTTTACTTTTTTACATTTTTATTAATTTTTTTCTAAAAATTGTTTATGTATAAAAAATATTTAGAAGACAAGATAATTCTATAAATTTAGAGTTATAAAAATTATGTAATTAATTCTAAAGTCATATAATTATTTAATACAAATATAAAAGTTCTTATTTTGTTTTTTAATGAAAAAATTAAGAATTTTAATCTTTAAGGATTAAAAAATTTAATTGATTAAATTATAAATATTTAATTAAAATAAAAAAATTATAAAGACTTAATTTAAAATTGAGTGAAACTGTAGAAACTTAAAAATATATTTTCATATAAAATTATAGAGATCTATAAAAAAAATACAAAAATGAATAACAAAATAAGATCCTAATGATCTTTTTTTTTCCTTTCTTATCAAACTTTTGCTGGCCTTTGTAATAAAAATACACACACACACACACATTGCAGGGCCAATAGTTGCATTTTTTGTCAGAAAAAAAAAAACATGTCCCATAAATTATTATTATTATTATTATTTTTTGAGAAAATGATAATAAAATTTGTTTAAAATATATAAATAATAATTTAATTCTTTAAAATATCATAATTTACCTTAAGTTCATAATAGGATATTTCTATTGTTAATGAATTTATATGAATTATCAAATTACCCTTATTGAAAGTAAATAATTCACAACTTTTTTTTATATTTAATTTTTTTTATATTTGTAATAATGCAACAACAAATAAAAAATTTAATATGTGAAGTTGTAATTTACTATTACATTATTGTGAATTTAAGAAAAAAAAATTGTGAATGATTTATTTTTAATAAAGATAATTTAGTAATTTACATAAATTTATTAATAGTAAAAAAATTTTGAAATTTTTTTTATGAGAGTTATGATATTTTATAAAATTAAATTATTATTTACATATTTTAAAATAATTTTACAATCCTTTTATACCCGATAACACGGGCAGCAATTCTGAATTCATCATCGGAGAGAATCGGAAGCTGCACCAGTCAAACGTGGAGGAAATGGAAGACAAAGGAAAACACGATCATGGAGGGTCTTTGAATAATTCCGAAAACCCTATTTCAGAATCACCCATCGATCGACCGCCAACTGGTGGCGAACTCACATCCAATCCTTCAGCTGAAGGTCATGGTGAATCAACAGTTTCTTTCAACCAGAGTGAAATTTTCAGAGCTATTCAAGTTGTCGAGAGAGATTCCTTAGCTATTGCCGAGAGTTTTGTTTCCCTCTTCGATTCTCTTCGCTTGGCTCTCTCTGAGGTTCGTCTAATTTCTGTGTAATTTATCTTTGAATGGTTTCTGCTAGTCGCGAAGAAGTGAGACTATAGTGTTTAGATTAAGTGATAAGTAATAATTTAGTTACAACCTACATTGGAGCGATGCTTTTTCGGGTAGAATTATACGTCTAGCTTCTTTTAGTGAGACATTATTTCTCAAGGAAGGGAGAGCCAACATATGGGATCGCTACGTTTTGTATTTTTCTCCCCTAAATTCATATGCTACATGCAATTTATTTAACTTAGTAATTTTTGCTTTTACTATGTTCAAACAACATAATTTTCCAAGCAAGTAGTCTGACATTGCAAAAGTGCAGGTTACTGGCAGCTCAGTTGATCATATGCAATGCTTTTGTGATGCTACAGGTCGTCTTCAGGAATCTGGTAGAGATCCATGTGAAGTAGGTCTTTCTGAAATATCATGTACAGTTTAATACTGGGTATCTTGTGATAATTTGGGGATTATTGTTTTAGAATATTGGATCTGCATTCTAGGTTTTTTCGTTCCTTATATAGGCTATGTGAAATTTAAAACACCCACTGTTTATTTTGTGATAGAGGTCACGTCTAATTAAGAAATTAGAGAGTATATAGATAATCTCTTGCATCCAGTGTTGGCAGACTGCATAAACTATTATATGCTGAAAAAAAACTTTCAAGGAGAAGATCTGTATTTCTATATTTCTTCTGTTATAGTTAGCTAACTAGACTTTTGTGTCTTTCATCTTCTTTTGTTTGGTGTACCTTTAAAACGTTTTGCTTTTCCCATGAACCTTTCTGAGCACAGGTTAATTTTATCTTTGTGGTTTGCAGTGCTTGAAGCAACAACCAAGGGGAACCGGTATATTAATTCATGTCTCAGGTATCATCTTGACATCTTACTTGTCTTCTGATTTAATGGATATTCTGACTTTCAAGTGTGCAAGATCAAGCAGACTACTTGAATTTAATGCATGTCCTGGCTATTATGTGTTGAAGTGAAGGAGAGATATGAAAAAGTGGGAGAAAATACTAAAATAGAGATGATGAGGGAGAAACGCAGAGGAATCTAAGAGGAGAAGGGCCAGTAGAAAGATCTGAGGAGGGAGGGGGAAAGGAAGAGAGATAATGAGGGGGTAGAGAATATTGGGAAGGAATGTTTAGAGGGACACTACAACTGATCAATATTCTTCAATAGCCTTAGGCTGTGTTTGGTAGCTTGGAATCAAGGAGAAGGAAATGGAATCTATTGACATGTGTATTTGGTATGTAATAATTATGATTCTTTGTAATCTAGATTCAAGGAAATTTGGTAGAATCCTATTCCATCATGCCCATGATAGAAACTGAATCTATGCTTCCCTTTCTTTAGTTTGCACCTTCTTCCTCCGCGACCTCCTTTTTCCTCCTCCACAAACCATCTTCTTCTTCTCAATGCAAATGCATCGCTCTTCTTCCTCACCTTCTTCTTCCTCCTCCAGTGATGTTAGACGGTTTCCTTCTCTTTCTCCATTATTGACAATGACCCCCCATTCTTCTAGATTTGTTGACTACCACCATTTGCTGAGGAGGTGACCGTGACCCACTGCGAATTGCTAAGTAGGAAGATCGAAAATCTCTGTCAAGCTTCTTAGTTCTTACTTTTGTCATTGGTTTAGCAATTCGGTCATGGTGCAGTGGTGGAATTGACGATTGGGGCGCACCGTTAGAGAGGAACAAGAAGAGAGAGAAAGATGAGCAAAGGAGCAAAGGAAGAGGTGCACAATCATGGCTTCTCACCTTTGTTTGCAGTGTTCTTGCTTTTCTTCTATTTTGTTGTCCGTTGGGTTCTTTGGTGGCCATCAATGGTTGGCAAGGAGGCAAAGGTGAGAGAGAGGAAGATGAGAGTTCTTTTTTTTTTTTTCTTGGGAGAGGGCATTTGTCTTTTCATATTTTTTAAATGCACATAAGATAAAATTATATCATAATTCTATCTACATACCAAACATGTTTTTATAATTCTATCCTAATGCTGATTCTGATTTCTATACCATTTTTTATTCCAATTCCTATAACGATTCCATTAAAAACTCTTTCATCATGCCAAATAAGGCCTAAGGTCTACTTGAATGGAATTGGCAAGGGCTAAGGCCTTAATAGCTCCTAATAACTTAAGATAAAAGCATAAATTAAATGTTTCATCATTTAAACAAATAATTTTTAATTTTATCCTAAATAAAATATTACTTCCTATATCTATAATTCCTAATTTATGAATAATTTATATATTTTCTAGTCTCATTTTATTCTCCATCACTATACAACAACAATAAACTCTATCTCACCAGATGAGGTTAGATACATGGATTGCACAATACCATTGTGCTCTATTAGCAACCAAGCCTTTGGGTATATTAGTAACTAAGAAGTCTTGTTCAACAACTTTCATGAATGTTCTCTTTTGTCTTCTTCTGCTTCACCACTGTGTTTTAAAATTTGTGTTTTATTTTGTTGTCTCTAGCTGACACTAAGGAAACTTAGACCTGCTTCTGGTCTGATGTTAATTATATTGTTGGGTTAAAGATTATTTTTGCCCTGAACTCTTTTTTTTTTTTTTTTTCCAGGAGTACGGGCATTCTGTACTAAAGGTTGAGGTAATATCCCTCCTAAACAATTTTTTCAGGAGCAAAGTTGCCCTTCCATCAAAGCCCCCTCATCTTTGTTATTTGTTGACATGTTTGATTAGTCGTAGGGCTCATGCACAGTGGCAACAAGACATTTTGATCCATTTTAACCATTTGATGTAACTTAAAGGGGTTGGAAGTAGCAGTGGTAGGAACCGTGCTTTATTTTAGGGGCGAAATGATGGAAAAATGGGTTAGAATGCCTTGCCATCATTGTGTGTGTGTCTCACAACTGTTCCACATTAGCAGATAATAGAGAAGATGGATCTTTGATGGAAGGGTGATTTTGCTCTTGGAAAAAAATTGTTTAGACAGGATATTATTTCACCTTTCAATTTAGGGTGTCCAACGCTTCTTTTAAAAAAATGTTTAGGGGGAGAAATGATCTTTAACCCTATATTGTTTGACTAGAAACAAATAAGCTTATTTTTGTGTATTTTTTTTTAGATAGATGAAAAATGTATCAGCAAAAACCCAAAATAATTGAAGCCCCCTATTGAATGAGGAGGCTGGCTACTGACCTAAATTTCTTGGTTGCAGATTGAACGAGGAGATGAAGAGCATTAATGGTCTGGCTTCTCAACTGTATCCAATAATTTTAATTAATTTCATTAACTTATTTCTTCCTTCTCATTGCACTTCTTGGTAAATAGATTTTACTGATATAGTCAATTTTATTATTCTTTGTAGAATACAAACTGCCATAGACATGGTAGGAATTCCCCTGAAGTGTTAGATATTTCTTTCAATGCCTTCTTTTATTAAGATCCCCCCCATTTTGAATACTTAATGCTTTGATAGAAAAGTTCTACGAAGGAATGTGGATTCTCTGGACTCAGCTGTTAACAAGCTTCTTCATTCTCCATAAATATGGAATTCAATCCACTGCAGATTTACTAGCCTTTTTTGGTTTTTTTTTTTTTTTTAATTTTGTGGTGGGGGGTGATGGGGAGGGGAGGGGAAACTTGTAGGTGCTTTGTGCAATCTGTCAATCTGTGTTGCCCCCAATGACGTGCTTCATTGTTTCAAACTTGCAAAATAACCTTGGCTTGTTTTGGTAACCTCAAATGTAAAATTTAACCTGACCCCGAAAAAATGTAATATTTCAGTCTTCGGTATTTGGTGTTTGGATTCAAATATCCCCTCCTCCCAGGCTGTTTGCGGAATTGCTCAGGAAGAGCACTAATATCCACTGCAAGGTTCATCCAATTGCTGGGAGACTGTCATCCAAAATGCAAACATTTTCAACTATCTGATTGATCTGATGGTGTGGAGAGAGAAGCTGGAAAAATAACCAGAAATGAGGGATTTGGATTTACAAACATGCAGAAATAGCCAACGAACATCTAGGGGAGGTCAGATCATTCTTCAAACTTTGAAACGAGGGTTACCTTCCTGGTGGGAATGGAAGCCTGCCACCGCCCATTTCGTTCCCTTCTTCATGCTCCACTCTCTTCTCTCCTTTGTGGTCAACTCATGGGAGCATGACTTCAGCCATGGGCATTTTGGCGTATGTGAAGCAGGAGGAGACTATCTCTAGTATTTCTTTGGCATTTATAGATTTTAGTGAGATTGCAGATGAGTATCAGTTGAGTAAACTAGTGAAATCTGTGTAAAATTATTCATTGTTTCACTTGCATTGAAATAAATCTTCGGTAAGCTGTACTGATCATGGTTTGTTAATGGTCAGTATAGATTTTATATTATGCCCAAACCATAATATAAAATCTTGATAAATGATAGAGCACAATGACATCTTGCAATCTATATAACCGATTCCATCTAGTGGAATAAAGGTTTGTTGTTGTATTGATTTTGACTTGATGAAGATTTTTGCCTTGGTAAATTATGTGAAATTGTGTCGGTTGCTGTCATATAGTGTCTTTTCTTTCTTGTTTGATTGCTGCTATTTGGTTGCTGTCAAGGAGACTTCTGATTCCCTTGTTCATTTGCTGCCAAATTGGATTTGGTAGCTGAGTTATGGAATTGGCGTTGGAAATATTGTTCTTACGAAGCTTCAAAACTTGGCATTGAATTTAATGTTCAAATATGGCATCTTCACCACAAAACGGAGAATGAAAACTAACCTGCCAGCACACCGTTTTGAATAATTCATTTCCAGCACTCTTCTCCCAGCTAACAGGTGAATCTTGCGCTGAGCACTGTTCGCATTTCCTTGGCAATTGATCAGTCATCATGGGATTACTGATCCAAAAGGCACCTGGACTGCAATTTTATTTCTGGAAGACCCTTTTGAATTTGTTCAAACTACTGCTCTAAACATTTTGCATGGATATGTATTTTTTTTCTTTTTCTTTACAATCTTTTTGCAATTTTAGTAATAGGCGTAGGCAAATAACTCTTAATGAAGTAACATGAGAAGTTCATACAAATGCAGCTTCTTTGGTTACCCAAGTTATTCTAATAGCCAGTAACCACAAGATTAAATTCTCGAGAAATTTGAATGTTATTTAAGGAGTTTTTTTTTTTTTCTAGATGAAGCTTTTTTTAAATTGAACTCTGAGATGTTGTTTAAGGAACCCAAATTGGTATCATTTGTATTACACTTGGTATAAAAATGCAGCTTTGGTCTTGTTGACTATTGAGGTAATATATATGCAACTAGATTTTAGGCGTCCTATGGCTATTGGAGACTTAGAGGGTAATGGAGGAAAATGATGTATCAAAATATTTCAATGAATAAGTACTAAAAGTTAGTTCTATATCCTGCATGGGGACATTAAAAATTTATATGAGATATTCGAAATTTCATAAAAATTAATAATATTTAGAAAAGGAAAAATAAAATTATATAAATAATTAAGGTATTAAAAAATAGATTGATTATTGAATCAATCAAGATTAGGAGTTAGGATTTCAATTGGCATTGAAGATCAAATAGGTATCTGACTGATCATAATAAAATAGTATTTTTTTTATTATATAGTAAATAATAAATATTTTGCTAAAAAATAATGTTGATATATAAAATTTAAAATATATAGATTTTTTTTTTCATAATCACTATATTTAGACATATACCTATCTTTTTGTAGATTAGCAAATATCATAATCTTTTTGCCCTTTTCAATGTGTAGCAGACTTGCACCTACATCAATTACTAGAGTCGATAATTCAGGGCGAGCCCAACAGGCTAGCCCGAACCTGCCAAAAAAAAGTTAAAGCTAGACTTAGAAAAATTATGATATTTTTATGTTCAGGCTCGAATAGGCCCAAGAAAATTTGGGCTAAGCTCGATTGGGTTCAGGCTTGACCTGAATACCCAAATAAATTTTTTATAAAATATATAAAAAATGATAAATATTAATTAATTATTTAAGTTTTAGGCCATTTTATATTAAGATATCATATATTTAAGTCTTATACATCATTTAAGTATCAAAAAATATATTTTATATTTTTTTATAAATAAAATAATTAATTTTAAAGTAAAAAATTTAATTTAAAAAGATTTTTAAAATAAAATTCGGGTATTTAGGCCACCCGAAGCCCAAGGAATTTGGATTGGGATTAGCTATTCGGGCTTTTTGGGGAGTTAGGCCTGCTCGGGTTTGGGCCTATTTAGGTCGAGCTTATTCGGGCCGAGCCCGAATAGACCCGGCCCGCCTGAATTCCCAGCTTTATCAATCACCTCACCTTTTAGACCTTATTTGACATATTGAGTCGTCTTCCTTCTTCCTTCTTCCTTCTTCATTTACTTTTGTCTTTTTCTTTCTTCATCTTTTTTGGGCAAGAAGCTACTTGAGCCTTGAAGATGATATAGATGAAAGAAGTTGTTGATTTAGTGATGCTTGATGCCAAAGATGTCGAGAACGCATGTAAGAAGTGAAGTTTTGAGGGCTAGAAGTAATGGAGAAGGTCTGAATGCATGCAATTTAGCTAAGGCTTCTAATTGTTAATTTTATTTTTTCTTTTTCTTTTTAATTTTATAAACCCCTAAACAACTTTCCATGAGATTAGGCGAGTTAATCTGGGTTAATCCTGGGTCATTTAGGTGACTTGGACTAACTAAAACCCAAGGAAACCACAAACTTGGATCAGACACACGGTTGGTTCATTGGCGACTAACCGATCTAGTTCAATTTTGTAAACCATGTAAATAATTAAAATAAATAACTATAACAATGAAAATAAACATAATTTTATAAATATGTGTGTGTATGTGTATGGTAACTTCACTCATGTTTATAGTTGATCTCAAGCTTGGGTAAAGGAGGAGGTTTATGTTAAGCCATTGACAATTAACATAAAACTCTATTGAAACTCACATGGATATGAATAACAAATGATTTTGTTCTTGTACTGGGTTGTTTCTCTCAAGCAATTTGTTGTATGGCTCAAGCGCAATGATAAGGGAGCTAGAGCTATTGCATTAGTGCAAGGATGTAGTTTTAAATGAGCAAGGTTTTGTTAACGAAACAAAAAAATGAGCAACGATTCTTGCATTATTTTGGATGGATGTAGATAAAGAAGTAGTCCTTGAGAACAAGATCATTTTCAGCACATCAAATGTTGGGATCTTGTCTTGCAAATCTAGGGAGGTGGTGGATGTAATGACCTCCAATATTATCTACACATAACCATAACACTTAAACTAATTAATTTAATTAAGGAAGAAATCAAAGAAAGATATGATTAATCTTGACAATTTGAAACTCTAAAGTTCATTTATAAAATACTATTTGAGTAAATGGAATCCCAAGATAAAATAAGTTTGAAAACCCTAAGTTAAGCCCTTGAAAACATCAAAAAATGAAGTGCACATTGTTATGGAAGCTGAAAAGTAGTTGAGCATTAAAATAGATTAAATAGTGGCAAAAGAGTCTTTTTAGCATTTCTAGGCAAATCCGCCACGGCCAAGCCCTCACTCGCTGAAGCTTATGGCATAAAGACCACTGGTCACGGCCAACGACACCTTTTGTGGCCAACATAAATGACTTATCCATTGCAGCCAATAAAGCATTTTGCTATATCGTGTAATATCCTAATTTCCTAATCTTATGATTAGTTGTTAATTAGGGGTAAAGTGGTAATTAATAAAGGATTAGATATTTGGATGATTAGTTGATGATTTTTGTTCTTTGGATGTTAAATGAGCAAGGATCACATTTCGAGTTGAAGCAAGTACGCGTGGTGAGGATTTTCCTCACTTTGCCACACGCCGCTGTAAATTTTGCCTACGTCGCGGTGCATAGACTAGAAAATGACCCTATAAGTTATGAAATTTAGGTGAATTTCAAAAGGGAGAATTAGAAACACATAAGAAGGAGAAGAGAAGAGGCAAGAGTTTGCTAGGGCAAGCCATTTTAGATCATTAGAAGGCTCTTCTGACTAGTAACTTGTCAGGTAAGCTATGTATAACCCTTACCTTCCATTCTACCCAAATTTCTTTAGATATGAGTTATAGAGAAATTGAATCGGTGAAATTTAAGGGGTTTGATTCTTACCCAATAGTAATAAAAAGGTTTTCGGGAGTTAAATTACAGCTTTGAGACTGGTTTAGAGCTAAACGACAAAGCTTTAAACTTGTAGGTTCCATTTGGCCCTAACTTAAAGGAAAATGAGGGTGGAAATCATGTTTAGTTGAAATGAGATAATTAAAAGTGATGTAAAGTGATAATTGAGCAGTAACTAACTTAAAATGGATAATTGAAAAAGAATGGACGGTTAAATGTAGCCATAAGTAGTAGTTAAGTGTTTTTGATCAATTGGACCAATTGACTAAATTGTGTCAATTGTGTGTAGATTGGCATATTGCACGTGTGAATTGAGAAATGAAGCTTATAGAGAGATGTAGTGGTAGTTGAAATCCACGTATAACCTTTCTAGTGACAAAGGGTTTGAGATAATTGAATAACTTTCCTTATTTGACTATTTATTGTAACTATGTATAAGTATGCTATTTAGTACATGAAATGGTTTTAAACTAAGCATGAATTATGGTATTTTATGAATGTTGCATGAAATGGCTTTTGATTCAATAGAAGAGTTAAAACATGATATTTCATATGGGGTGTGTGTGTGTGTGTGTGTGTGTGTGTGTGTGTGTGTGTGTGCGCGCTATGAATTAGAAGACATGTATGGTGGTGATTTGGAA